AATTGAAGGAAAATTTAAAAAATTTTTGACATTCTACTCAAATAGTGAAATGATTGGATTCAACCATCAAATTATTGCTTTTCAACATTTACAGAGTTGTGATGCCTTATTATGCTTTGGTTTTTGTGACAATTCTGCTCTAACTTACCCTTCAGTGTTGTGTGGTAGATACTTAACATTTAAAACAGCTTTGAGAGTTTATAAAACAACAGTGAGAATGCTACAAAATTAGGACTGAGCATTGTCGAATGGCAAAAATTACCTTTTTTGTGTGTAAAAGCAATTCCTTTTTCAATTTTTTTTTTTTTTTTTTTTTTTTGAGACAGAGCCTTGCTGTGTTGCCCAGGCTGGAGTGCAGAGGTCTCTTGGGTTCAAGTGATTCTCCTGTCTCAGCCTCCTGAGTAGGTAGGATTATAGGCACATGCCACCATGCCTGGCTAATTTTTGCATCTTTAATAGAAATGGAGTTTCGCCATGTTGGCCAGGCTGGTCTTGTACTCCTGACCTCAAGTGATCCACCCACCTTGGCCTCCCAAAGTGCTGAGATTACAGGCATGAGCCATCGCGCCCGGCCATAGCAATTCTTTTAATACAGTGAGATGAAAACGTTGGATTTGATTTGATATACCATGTAAATAAATGAATATAGATGACTTTTTATTAAATTCTGATATATTAATTCAGTGGAGAATACATTTGAAAAATTAGAACATAATTTTGTCAAGTCTTCCCCAACAGGCTCTAAGTATAAATAACTAGCAACTCAGATTTTTCATTCTTCTGGTCGTAAATCGATCCCCTTAGAAAAATAATTCTGAAAGGAGAGAAAACTCAAGGGAGAAAAAACTATATATATAGTCCAACTTCCATGTAGATGGGAGTGGATATCTCAACCAGATTTTTCAGCTACATCCATGATACTTTGCCAAGCTCACTAGAGTTAAACCTGTACTCATACACACTAGATCACTAGTTTCTTCAGTATTCAAATGGAACTTAATTTTTTATGGTTTCAATAAAACAAGTAATTGTATAGTTCCATCCACAAATAGCCAGTTCCCCTATGCAGGGTGCATTGCAAAGTAGCAGTGATCCTGGGAAGAACCTGACTAGTTGCCTCCTGTCAAGGGGTGAAATCCTGGAGAAGAATGCTTCTCAAAGTTCAGCCTTCTTCTGGCACCCTTAGGTCAGTATTAGATGTGACTGATCCTACCTCAGTTCATCCATATTCCCTGGGCTTGTTCTATAGCATAGGACTTAGATGGATTCATATTGATCTCATCCTGCTTCAGACCTCTGCCTTTGTTTTGAAAAGGATTTCTCTACTCCTCCTTCTTCCCCAATGCTAGGATTCAGAGGGACCCAGTACTGGAGGTCTGAAATACACTCTCCTCAGTCTCCCAAGAAGCCTAGGCAGCAGTTTCCAGATCAGAATTTGCTTTAGAACCTCCTGGGGTACTTGTAAAAATTACATACCTTATGTTTTACATAACTTGCTTGAAGTCTCTCCAGCTACAAAAGGTATAATGGAATAATAACCAGAAACAACTCATTTACTCAACAAAATTTTTTTTAATGGAAAACCTGTATCACTGTGTACCTGGCTGTGTAGTGGTGCTGAGGATCCAGATGTAAACAGAACTGAGTTTGACTTCAGGGAATTTATAGTCTGGTGGGAATTAAGTGGGAAAGATAAATGGGTAAAGAAAGGTGTTGTGGTACAGAAGAGGGAGAATTTAACTCTGCTCCTGAGACTCAAAGAGGTGGTCAGGGGTAGGAATTTGCTGGGAAAACAAAAGTATTTGAAGCAGAGACACTAGCCTGTGCAGAAGTGTGGAGATGTGAGAGGTCAGTGTGTTTTGGGAACTGCAGGTAGTTCCTCATGTTGTATGGGAAATGAGATGACATGAAGTCAAAGTGGCTATAAGTGGTAAATAAGTAACACAAGAAACTTTCCTGGAATTAGAATACATGAGTTACAGATTGAAAGAGTTCACTGAGTGTCCTACCAATGAATGAAAAAGACTCATTCCTAAACATATCCTATTAAAATTCAGGATTTCTGGCATAAATAGAGGATCCTAAAAGCTTTTGGAGAGGAACAAATAATATAAAAATGGTTAATAATCAGTAACATCAGACTGCTCGGTAGCCACATTAGAAACTAGGAAAAAATGAAGTAATACTTTCGAAATCATATGGGAAATTGTTTCCTACCTAGAATTGTATACCCAACCAGGTACTAATCAGGCATTTTAGGCTATACAGATTCTCAAAAAATTATATTCTGTGTGATCTATTCAGGTAGCTGATGGGAGACATGTCTTGTCAAAACAAGAGAATAAACTAAGAAAGGGAAGACAGGAAATCCAAAAACAAGGTTCTCACAGAGCAAAAAGGTGAAGGAAATTCTTAGGATGGTAGCCAACAGAAGTCCCAGTCCAAGTCAGGCCTAGAGAGTAACCATTCCAGCCAGATTGAATCAGGATGAAGGGCCTAGAAGGCATGTCTCTAAAAAAAATAAATAAATAAAACCAATGTGAAGAAAGGAGGGAAATTACTTGTTTTAATTTTATTGAGGAGTTTTGCAGCTCTTAGGAGAGCTTAATGAGGTGAATGTGTTAGGAGTATAAAAAGCTAAGCAAACAACAACAGCAAAAAACAGGGCAACTAATTAACAGAATCAAAAAGTTATCCAAGAAAGGAGATGTAATAATTGAATTCTATATGGCATTGCTGGGAATAATATTTACTTTGTCAGATTACTGTGAACACTGTTGACTTAACCAAGTGTTGTATAGTTGGAGGCTGGGAAGTTTGGGCAAGTGTGCCATATTTGTATGCATGCCATGTTTGTAAAATGGTATATGAGAACTAAACTCTTGTCTTCCACGGAAGTTAGTAGATAATATCTAAAATGGAAAATCAAGAAATAGGAATATAAGCACATTATTTCGAAATACAGAGTTCAGTACCAGAAGAAAATACTAAAGGAATTGAAATTAGTTGGGTGTGGAGAGTGGGACTTGGATGTGGGGTAGGGGGAGGCAGGAAACTTCTCTTTTATGATAAGCTTTGTAGTTCAATTTCATTTTAATGCTTTCATAAAATAATTAACAAAAATTTAAACCTAGCACCTGTAATGCTGAGGGAATCTTGCAAATGATGTTGGACATTTGGTTGAACCAACTTTTTAGATTGCATATTTATATACCTACCCTTGGCAGCATCCTTAAATTTAATCCAAATTTTGTTCTTTTCCATGTTTAATTAAATGGGAATTACAGAAAAGTTGGTAAACTGTTGATTCACATATGTTTATAGATTATATTTAGATACTATGATCTTACCCCCACTCATATTTTTATGTGGAGTGTATCTTCTAAACTTTAGAGGATGAACAAACAACCCTTCCTCTTTCTTGCCTTCTCTTCAAAGTGGAGCAGTATTTGACTTCATGTGAGAAATGCATTCCTCAGTGACCTGATTTTCCTGAAACGGGGTGGCTAGCCAGCTGCACGCTAAGATCTCTGAGCTGCCTGCGCACATCACTCAACAAAGCCCCAAGCTGTTTATGGAGAAATGTTGCGGTTTATATGGATACAAACCAACCTCTTCTACCTTTTAATTTTTTAAGAAAAACTCACAGAAGAATGGAAAGAGTAGTAAAATGCCCAGATACCCGTCATCTAGATGTGCCACTTCTTAACGTTTTGCCATACTTGCTTTCTTTCTCCCTCTCTCTATATCCATGCATAATTTTTGGTGTGTGTGTGTTGGGGGACAGGGACAGGGATGAGGACTGAACCATTTTAAAGTAAATTATAGACATCACACTTTAAAATGTCTACATGCATTTCCCAAGCAATACATCTGAGGACATCCTTCTATAAAACAAAAATACCGTTATTTACCATAGATAAAAAAATATCATCTAATGTATGGTTAAATATGCAGATTTCCTTAATATCCCAACAATATTTTCTATAGTTTTTTATCCAGAATCCAGTGATTATAAATTACATTTAGTCATCATGTTTCTTTTTTTTCTTTTTTTTGAGCTGGAGTCTCACTCTGTCACCCATGCTAGAGTACAGTGCAACCTCCACTTTCTGGGTCCAGGCAATTCTCGTATCTCAGCTTCCCAGGTAGCTGGAATTACAGGTGCCCGCCACCACACCCAGCTAATTTTTGTATTTTTAGTAGAGACAGGGTTTCACCATGTTAGCCAGTCTGGTCTCAAACTCCTTACCTCAAATGATTCACCTGCCTTGGCCCCCCAGAGTGCTGGGATTACAGGTGTGAGCCACCATGCTCAACCTAGTCATTGTGGTCCTTTAAGTTTTCCTGATGCTAGAAGTTTCTCTGCTTTAAAAAAATAAACCAAAACTTTTATAACATTCACAGTTATGAGGAGCCTAAACCAGACGTTTTGTAGAATGTCCTAGAAATATAGATTTGTCTTTTTGGTCCCTCATTATAAGGTTCTGGTTTACACTTTTTGCAAGAATATGTGTGCAAACTTTTTTAATCCACCATTTTTAAACTTTTTATGGAGGTTCAAAATTTTAGCCCAATTTTCATCCAGTTTTTGTATTTGTGAGTCTTGCTAATCTGTAGTTTGGCATATGGTGTTAAGAATGGCCACTTACCTGGAGAATAGTAAAACTCCTTAGACCCTAGGAAAGATCACTATAATAATCTCTGGGAGGGGTAATACGTTTCTCTGGAAACAAGCATAATATTTTTTAACATCCTTGGCAGTATTCTTTGGATGACTTAATATATTGTAATCAAGGACAAATTTTTCTACTCTTTAGTTAAGTTTTGTTACAGTATGCAGTCAGGGAGCAAATACTCTGCCAGCTTTTCTGTCATCCCTAAGCTGAAAGTTTGTTTTTGGAGTCTAAACATTGAGTATGTGTTCCGTTTGCAGCCCTGCGGCTGTCCTTGTGCCAGGATGCTCAGTGGCTTAGGTTGTGTATATTTTGTATGGAGGGAGTGCAGTGTGGAGAGGTGGCGTGCCTCAGATGCCAGTGGAGCAATGCAAGCTTGCCAGGGAAAGCATGCTTCCCGTCTGTCAGGGCTCCCTGATAGGAGACCTGGTGACACAGTAGCCTTTCCACAGAGCTCCTCGGGACGTGTAGGAAGTGCTGCTGCAGGTTTTGTCTGGGGGAAATCTGAGCCATTTCTCTGTGGACAGCTGTGTTTCAAAGTCTGGGCAGGTTGCTGTTGAATTTTGCGTGGGCTGCCAGGGTGAGTGTTTTCATTTCGGTTTGTTTATAATCTTGCTTTTCGTCTTCCTAAGTCACCATGACTTTCTGGAAGTCTCACAGGACTTGTTTGTTATATATTATCTAAAGTAGGATTCAAAGGATTTAGCCTAATAGATTTGTAATTCAATTTTTCTTTTTCTTTCTTTCTGCAGATTTTGTGGAAGTATAATACTTTGTCATTATGAGATGTCGTCTCTCGGTGCCTCCTTCGTGCAAATTAAATTTGATGACTTGCAGTTTTTTGAAAATTGCGGTGGAGGAAGTTTCGGGAGTGTTTATCGAGCCAAATGGATATCACAGGACAAGGAGGTGGCTGTAAAGAAGCTCCTCAAAATAGAGAAAGAGGTAAGGTCTTTTCCTGCTGACAGAAACAGTCACGATACCACTTATGTAAGCTTTTTCAACCTCGAGTTAGAGGATCACAGGGCTGCAAAGGATCACAGGGCTAGCAAGGCCTTTGGGGCTGATCCACGAGGCTGTTTCCCAATTTCCATTCTGGGAGCCCCATAAATAGAAATTATTGCAGCGTGTGCTTTAGGGGTGAGTTCTACTAGGGGTCAGCTGAAGTAAGAGGATTTCTTTCCAGGGCATGAAAGACCGAATGTTCTCTGAGCTCTGCTGGAGGCAGAGGTGAGATTTCAGACCTTCCCAGGGTTCAAACTTTTCTCTTCCCTAGGGCCACCGAGAGGGGTCGGTAAAGAGTAATGTGTAAGGTTTTCATACCCATTCCATTTTCTCTGCTTGAACTTCTGGTCCTCAGCAGTTGTCTTTTAAAAGATAAAAAGCACTATTTTTTTAAAGCGAAATCTGCAATACCTGTGTCTTGGATTTCACCTCTACTTAAGGCTAACAGTGGGCTTCGTATTTTATAGAATTAATAGGAGCCAGACAGAAAGCTGCTCTCCTGGTAAAATCAGAAAAGTGTCTTAGCTTTCAGAGTCTAGGATTTGTGCTCATCCTAGATGAGCTCAGAGCTCTGAGACCTTTCATCTTTCTCAGGATTGAGATACAACTTGGTTGTCACATTGGGTTTGGTACCTTGAGAATAAAACTACCTGCGGAGCTGACCTGCAGGGACTCAGCAGCATTGATTACTTCAGTAGCGACCCTCTGGAGCTGGTTTTGGTCATTTCTATTTACATCCTGTTTTGGCTAATTATTGTTCAGTATCTTTTCAAGTTAACTTTCCCATAAATATCCTTTAATCTCCCTGGATGATTTCATTTTTTTCATTAACTGCTGCCAGTGATTCGTGGCAATTGATTAGAGAAGGAAACCCAAATGGTAGGACTTTGTGGGTTTGCTCCCAGCAGTGCTGTGTAAGTATGTGATCATCAGCTAGCTGTGTTACCAGTTGTTGAAGCCAGGTCAGGAGGACTAAGATATCTCTGCCTTGGGGTACTGGTGCATTTTTGGAAGGCATTAAGAAATGAGAGCTGTTAAAGCCCATCCAGAAAAGTACAGTGTATAAGAAAGTTACTTTCCCTTTCCCCCGTTTCTCGATCAACAAAAAATTTTAATGGTAGCCAAGTAATAAATCCATGTCTTACCTTGGACTGAACCTAGTCCTTTTAGCTGGTCAATTCATGAAGTCCTTTATAGGAAGCATTATTGTATTCATTTTATCCATTGGAAAATAGAGCTTTGAGACATGTGTTAAGCTGCCTCAGGAGGGGCAAATGAAATACAGGAGGCCAGAACACCTGCTCTTTAGTTTTTAACTCTGAAACCTCTAATTCACCAGGTACAAAGAGAAAACTAAACCAGCTCCATCCATTTACAGAGTTATTTATAAATATGCTAATATTTTAAAGTTTTGGATTGTACAACTTTAGCATAAGGACCATGTTCTTACACAATTATTGGACGTGAGAAAGATTTTATGAGACATGAAACAGATTTTGATAGGAAAATATGAATTATAACCCATTTTCTCCAATACCCCCTTCCCAAGCATACGTACGTAATACCTTTTCTTCTGTTCTTGGGAGAGCCAGGAAAGTGACATAGGAAAGTACCGGAGTGAAAGCAGGAATTGGAAACTGTCAGATCCTGCTTTTTTTGCAGGTATTTAACCTGAATGTAGATAATGCAGAAATTAAGTTGATTCCAGTACACTGCAAGAGCACAACTCATAAACCTGCAAGTAGGGAAAACAAAACCCCCACTTCTGCTTTGGGGCTTAGTCAGTGATTGTGAGTGATAAAGAGAAACAGTGAATTATGGCAAAGCACCCCCATTTGTACCGGATCAACATGAATTTAAGATGTAAAGAGTTATGGCAAGGGTTGGCAGTTACTAGCAAGGAAATATACATTTCTTATGTAAATAATTGTTCTGCTTTAGGAAATGTGTGTGCCTTCTAGCTAGGTGTTTTCTGAGTGGTAAGATAAAGGCAGTAAGCCCTGAATTTTTTCCTAATTTATATATCCAGTTCCATGTCAGTTGGTTGTTTTTTGCCAATGAGTTTAGGAGCAATGGAACATTTAATAAAACATTTGCAACTCATTTCATGTGACTCTTTAAGAGCAACTTATTATTAGACTAAATATAGGTTCTATGAACTTAGGGAAATGTGGATAAAATATATACCAAACTCTTTAACTTTGTTTATGTGAGAGAAGAAAGGAAGACTATTTACTTTCACTTTATTTGCAGTGAGTATGTATTACTTTTCTGTTTTAGTAAGTATAATATTACTTTATTTAAAAACAAAAACAAAAGACTGTATTTACTTAAAATCTTTTTTTTTTTTTTTTTTTGAGATGGAGTCTTGCTCTGTCGCCACGCTAGAATGCAGTGGCACAATCTCGGCTCCCTGCAACCTCTGCCTCCTGGGTTCAAGCGATTCTTCCACCTCAGCCTCCCAAGTAGCTAGGGCCACAGGTGTGTGCCACCACACCGGCTAATTTTTTTTGTATATTTAGTAGAGACGAGGTTTCACCCTGTTGGCCTGGATGGTCTTGATCTCTTGACCTTGTGATCCACCCGCCTCAGCCTCCCAAAGTGCTGGGATTACAGGCGTGAGCCATCGTGCCCAGCCTACTTAAAATCTTTAGCTCTTTAAAACTTTATTTAAAAATTTTTTTAAACCTAGAGAAAAATTACAAGAATAGTACCATGAACTCTAGTACACTATATTCTTCCTCTAAACTCATCATTTAGTATCATTATTTGCTTTCTCTGTCTATACTATTGATTTATACGTATTTATATATAGTGTATGATTTTTGCTAAACCGTGAGAGTACATTACAGATGCCATGTATCTTTATCCCTAGATACTTTAGCATCTCCCAAAACACAGCCACAGTATAATTAACAAATTCAGGAAATTTAACAATGATAACAGTAATGTTACACAGTCTATATTCACATTTTTCCAAGTTTTGCAATCAGAGTTTTTGATGGTAATTTTTCCAACCCAGGATCCAATCCAGGATCATATATTGCATGTAATCAATATGTCTGTTCAGCCTGGCTTAATCTGGAACAGTTTTTCTGTCTTTTAAAATGCAGACAATTTGGAAGAGTACAGGACAATTGTTTTGTAGAATGTTCCTCATTTGGGGTTTATGTGATTTCCTCCCCCAGTCTCCAGCCTAGTCAGAGTTTATGTACTTTTGGCAGGGAAACTACATAGGCCATGTGTCTTTGGTGTGTCTTAATGGGTGTTTTGTGGTGTTGGTCTCATTATTGGTGATATTAATTTTGAACCCTTAGTTAAGAGAGGTTTACCCAATTTCTCCACAGTAAAAGAAAATACCTATTTTTCCTTTGTAATTAATAATTAAGTTATGGATAGAAACTTTGAAGCTAGGTAAATATCTCTTCTCAGCAAACATTCACTAATGTTTTTAGCATTCATTGGTGATTCTTGTTTGGATTAAATAGTACTATGATGGTTTGCTGTGCAGAAAGTAAAAAGTTGTAGCATAAGTGAGTTTGTCCTTCTTATTTTTTTCTTTCTTCCTTTATTCGTCCATCCATTCATGTATTTATTGTTTAATTGTAGACCTGAAGACTTTGAAATTCAGAAGGTTATAATCCGTTAGTGTTATTCATTTTCATGCTTAAATTATCCCAAATTTAGCAAGTAAGAGCTCTTTCCAGCTGGCTCTTATGTCCTTTTGATATGTCACCATCATTTTTTGATGATTTTCTTCAGGCACAAAAAGATGTTCTAGGCTTATCTAGTTCCTGTCCCATTCCTGGAGTCAGCGATGTTTTCAGGAAGCCCTGAGTCAATATACCTGATTTTGGAGTATGATATTTAGGAACCAAGATTTGGGTAATAGGATTGTTTACTTTAGATTTAAAAAAAAATATATTGTCTTTTTGGCAGAAATTGTGGCTGTATCTCAAATTAAATGCTTTCATAAATAAAATGTATTTCATATTTTATATCATAAATATGAAAAAAATTCACATTTTATTTCATAAATTTTATGAAAGCATTTAATTTGAAATGTAAAATCATGTCTGTGGTTAGCTAGAATCTGTGATACACTGCTATTAGAAATGTACATTGGTAAACCGTTCTGGAGAAGAGTTTAACAACATGTATCAAAAATCTTAAAATGTTTATGTCTTTGGGCCAGAAATATTACTTCTGGGACTTTATCCTGAGGAAATAATAAGAGATGTACAGAAAGATGGATATAATAATAGGAGTCTTCTCAGATGTGTAATGTTGAAGAATTGGAAGTTACAAATTATGTTGCAGTTATATAATTTATTTCTCTTCCATTTGGAAGAACATTTAGAAAAAAGGAAAATGCTGATTATATAATGGTAAGTGGTGAAAGCAAATTACAAAAGATTATGTATAATATGATTCCAGGTATAGGTTTTGTGTCTGTATGGTGCTTTTATTTTTCTTATAGTGTACCTTGTTTTTCGTATTTTCCTGTGATGATTTTACATTTCTTTTCCCCCCAACATTTTATTGTGAAAAATTTCAAACATAAAGAAAAGGTAGCTGGGCACAGTGGCTCATGCCTGTAATCCCAGCACTTTGGGAGGCCGAGGTGGGCGGATCACGAGGTCAAGAGATTGAGACCATCCTGGCCAACATGGTAAAACCCATCTCTACTAAAAAATATTAAAATTATCTGGGCGTGGTGGCGCATGCCTGTAGTCCCAGCTACTCAGGAGGCTGAGGCAGGAGAATTGCTAGAACCCGGGAGGTGGAGATTGCAGTGAGCTGAGATTGCGCCACTGCACTCCAGCCTGGCGCCTGGTGACAGAAAAAAAGAAAAGGTAAAAAAAAAAGGTGACCAAAAAAAAAGAGAAGGTAAAAAGGTTTTGTAGTAAATATTTGCATACCTACCATCTAGTGCCTAT